TTCACTCTTGCCATCTCCTGTTTGACCACTTCCAATTTGCCTTGATTCATGGACCTAACATTCCAGGTTCCTATGCAATATTTCTCTTTATAGCATCAGACATTGCTTCTATCACCAGTCACATCCACAACTGGGTGTTGTTTTTGCTTTGGCTCTATCCCTTCATTCTTTCTGGCGTTATTTCTCCACTGATCTCCAGTAGCATATTGGGCACCTACTGACCTGGGGAGTTCATCTTTCAGTGTCTTGTCTTTTTGCCTTTTCACGCTGTTCATGAGGTTCTCAAGGCAAGAATACTGAAGTGGTTTGCCACTGCCTTCTCCAGTGGGCCACATTCTGTCAGACCTCTCCACCACGACCATCTCGGGTCGCCCCACATGGCATGGCTTAGTTTCATTGAGTTAGACAAGGCTGTGGTCCATGTGATCAGATTGGCTAGTTTTCTGTGATTGTGGTTTCAATCTGTCTACCCTCTGATGCTCTCTCTCAGCACCTACCGTCTTCCTTGGGTTCCTCTTACCTTGGACATGTGATATCTCTTCATGGCTGCTCCAGCAAAGGGCAGCACTGCTCCCTACAACAGATGCATAAAAAGCATTTGACAAAATTTAGCCCATTTATGATAAAAACTCTAAGTTAAGTGGGTACAAAAGGTACATACCTGAATATAATAAAGGCCATAATGACAGGTTCACAGCTAGTATCATAATCAGTAGTTAAAAGCTTAAAACTTTTACTCTAATATCAGGAACAAGACAAACCATTTTATTCAACATCAACATTGCCATTTTATTCAACATAGAATTGGAACACCAAGCCACAGAAATCGGAGAAGAAAAAAATGTCGTACAAATTCAAAAGGAAAAAGTGAAACTGTCACTATTTGCAGGAGACATGATATTGTATATAGAAAACCTTAAAAGCCAGGGATCTTTTAGAGCTAATAAAAAAATTCAGTAAAGTTACAAAATACAAAATTAACACACAGATATCTGTTGCATCTCTTACTTTAACAGCAAACTATGAGAAAGAGAAATTAATCAAACAGCCTCATTTACAATAACATCAAAACAAAAAAAAGTACCTGTATTTAACCAAGGAGCTGGAAGATCTGTATACAGAAAATTATGTCATTAATTAAAGAAATTGAAGAAGACAAATAAATGGAAAGATATTTCATGTTCTTGGATCAGAAGAATTAACACTATTAACATGTTCAGACTAACCAAAGCAATCTATAGATTTAGTGTAATCCCTATCAAAATTCCAAGGGCATTTTTCACGGAAATAGAACAAACAATCCTAAAAATTTCATATAAGCCAAAGGACCACAAATAGTCAAAGCAATTTTAAGGAAAAAAAAAAAAAAAACAGCTGGAGACCATGCTCCATGGTTTCAAACTGTATTATAATGCTCTAGAAATCTTATTTTTTTTTAGCTCATTATATTCAATTTAATTACCTCTGAAACACATAGAAACATTTTACATATTTCCTTTGGTTCACATTTCTAAGAAACAAAGTGATGGAAGAGATGTTTAAAAGCTACAGGTGCTGGAGGGCAAGGACTAAGTGAAGCCCTGACAAGTAGACAGAGTTTCCCCAGACTAATTCAGAAGCTCAGAGAGAACAGCATTCTCTGCACATGCGTATGCAGTGTTAGCCTAAAAGCAGTCACATAGATCAATGGGACAGAATAGAGAGCCCTGAAATAAACCCACACTCGTATGGTCCATTATGGTGTCAGGAAAACTGAACAGCTATATGCGAAAGAATAAAACTGGACTATCATCTTATACCATCCAGGAAAATTAACTCAAAGTAGATTCAAGACTTGAACATAA